TTGCGCCGTACGGCATCCCTGCCGCCAGCCCCTCGGCCTGCACGCAGGCGTTGTGACCAGGCCTTGCCCACATCCATTGGGAGTCCATCCTGCCACCCAGTGCTCTGGCTGGTACCTTCCTGTCTCGGCTCTCTCTGAAGCTCCCACATAGTTGGGTCTAACTGGAAAGTTTCTTCCAGTGTTCGCCCTGAACTTTCCTTCTGTAGCTTCAGGCCATTTCTCCCCATCCCAGGAAAGTAATGAAAGGTTTCCTTCCTCTTTTGACTCCAAGGTATTTACAGTCTGGAATCGCAACCGGGCAGGAAGCTCCTCCTGTCTAGCGCGCGCATTTAGCGATCTTGTGCCTTAGCTTTCAGTCCTTGTGTCGGGGCTAGGATGCCCCGGACATTACCTACCACCGTCTGTCCCGACGAGCGCTCAGTGCAGCGGTCTACAAAGCCAGGCAGGGGTGACAACGGCGTTTCCGATTTTTTCAGGACTCTTGGTCTTGGCTTTGGAGAACGGGAGCCTTGTAAAACTGCGCCGTGCTCCCTGCTCCCCAAGAACAAAGCAGGCAGGCGCGGCGGGGGCATGTTATGTGCACACGCTCATGCCTGCAATCCAAAACACAGCAGGTAGGTCAAATTAGTAGCCTGCTGGCCTTAGCAGTTTTCCTTTAACAAGCAAAGCTTCTATAGGGGAGAAATCGCAGGAACTTCAAAACAGAGCTGCAATTACCATGCTGCAATTACCATGGAGACCAACACGGCAGCCTCGTCTCTCTTGTGCCCTCGCACCCTCCTGCCTTTTAAAGCATTGGCATCTACAAAGCTAGTGCAGAGGAACACCGGCGTGTCTTGCTCCGGGGAATAGCGCTGTGCAGCGAATCGCACAGAAAAGAGGTCCCCGTGCCAGAATCTGCATCCCGGTATCTGTTTGACTCCGCGCAGTTCAAGTGATTTCCTCCTCCTGCAATGTTTGTTCTAGGTGCTCTGAAGAGGAACCTGTCGTCTGAAGAAGTCAAGGCGGACTTCATTGCTCTGGGTAGGTCGCTCAAAATTTACCAAAATATTAAATATTTCATTCGCTCTGATGTGGTTAACTCTCGTGTGATTTCTCCCACAGGGCTCAGCGAAGAGAAAGCCAGTTACTTTGCAGAGCAGGTATTAGCAGAATTCCTTTTGTTCTTAAAAAACTTACTGGGGGGAAAAGTGTTTGAACTTATGGCTTGGTATTTAGTGGTACCAAGGAGTTGGGCTACCTCTTTCTAACCAGCTCAGCCTTCTTAACCTGAGACGTCATGAATGCTTTGCCAAGGGGTGCTTTCACTTGGGCATATGCCCTACTTCATAGTGTATTTGCACCGCAGGTTGAAGGACTACCGCAGCTCTGCTCCTGCCTTTGCTTGCACCAAACACCGTTGCCCAGGCATACAGGCCTTCTTGCTGCAGTCTGTTAAACTGGACCCCTGCCAAAGTCTTCAAAAACACCCAAGTCTCATCTTCAAGTGTCTGGCCAGTAGGACTCAGTCATTCCCCCTCTATTTTCAGTCTTCAGCATTTAAGCTGTCCCTGGATACAGACCTGTGCTTTGTGCTGTTGCTGTGGCTCTGCCTAGTTTCCGATTTGGGCTGGCACTGCAGGGTCCAGGGTGAGGAGATGTCTTTCCGCATCCATCATTTATGGTTTGGTTTTTGCTCTTGCAGTGGAAGCTGAATTCCCCGACCCTGACCAGCCTGGCTGTTGGGCAGACCCTGATGATCAACCAGCTTATAGACATGGAGTGGAAGTTTGGAGGTAATGGATCCCAACACGAGTGGGACGTGGGGTGCTGGAATCGCAACCCCGGCAGTTCTCAGCTGTAGTGCTCTTGAAATAATCTCTCTCTCTCAGCTAAATTAGCCTGCCCAAGCTCAACATGTTCAAACTCTCTTTTTCCATCTCACAGTGACTGCAGGGAGCAGCGAACTGGAAAAAGTGGGAAGTATCTTCTTGCAGGTAAGACTCCAGGCACGAGCTGCATTTCACCACTGGGCACACTCTTCAGACCTGAACACAGGGGTGGAGAGCTGACTGGAGGGCACCGGGACCCCCTGGAAACATGTCCTCTGAGTGTGGTTTCAGGAGCTTTACCTCCGTGCCCAATTTCTTGAGTACATCCTTCAAATCACACGAATGCATTGCGAGGTTGCTTTTGCTGAATGCTCGGTGGGTGTCAGAAGTGCAGCCCCTGGCAGGGAAAGGAGCAATCCAACACCGTTCAGCCCAGTGTCCCATGTGTAAAGTTGGATTTGTCTCCTATGGTAAAGACTCGCCTTATCTCGGCGAATTGGGATTGACACTCATAGTAGCCTTTTATGGAAGAATAGTAAGGAAACATGGCATCTCTACACCAGTCTGCGCGGTCGCAAATGGATTCTGGACGACTTGGTTTGTATGAAGGTGGCATGTACCGGCTGCTTTAATTAAAAAACATCTCTGATTTTTCTTCCCAGCTGAAACTGGTGGTTAAAAAAGGAAACCACACAGAGCCTGTGTATGTAGGTGAGTTGCTCGACGTTTTTGAGGGTCATTCGAAATGGGTGCATTTTGCCAGGCCTTTGAAAGGCAGTTCAGCTGCCAGGTCCTTAAAGAGAAGGTCACGTGTACGTACTGAGTCACAACGAGCTGTGGAAGCCGACGCAGCTTCCCAGCAGGGGTCACTGCAGGCCAGTCTTCCGCCCCTGCCGGTCCCGGTAGGGAATTATTTAGGAGCTCTGGCTCTTTGGCAGTCTTTATGTCTGTACATAAGGAAAATAATATGCACTCTCCAGCTCTGAAAAACCGGAGTCCTGTGCAGCAGTCAGAGTAGCAGAGTGCAGGAACAGGAGGGGGGAAGAACAATCCCAGTGTGTCTCTTCACCTTATGCAAATCCAACCTGCAATTCCTACTACACGGGTGCAATATTGCAGACAAGGGTGTTAAGAGGCAGCTTCTCCAGTTGTTCTCTGCCCAGGTGTGACTGCACCACACTTTTGCTGTGGGACTTGCAAGCTGAAGCTTCACAATTCCTCTTTTCCTTCCTCAGAGCTGACGCTGCCCCAGTTCTACAGTTTTCTGCATGAGATGGAACGAGTCAAAACCAGTCTGGAGTGTTTCAGTTGAAACCAGATGAGACCGAATTAATAGCACGGCCCGGCACTTTCGCCCTGTGGGCCAGCACATCTCATCTCGCTGCTGCTCCGTAACCTCTTGCTAGATGGAGACTGTGCAGTTTTGTAAGCAAAGCTCTCAAGTCCTTCTGCCCTCAGTTGGAACCGGCCCTTAAACCCGTTATAGTTCTGTCCTTCCGAGCCCGAGACCTTTACGGGTACTCCTCGTAGCCGACAGCCAAGCAGACCCGTGCTGCTCTTCTGTCCTAGCCACTGAGAGAGAGTATTGTCAGAAGTAAATGGAAGTCTGCTTACAGAGGTAGCGTGCAAGCTAGGAAGTAAATAAAGAGTCGCATTAACGTCCTGCGTGGTGTGTATCAGTCACGTGAAGCGATTGTTTTCAGACTGGCCGGAGTAGAAGGAGGAGAGCCTGACCAAATTCAGCACTTAGCACCATCCCGTCCCTCCCACTCCTGCCTCATTACAGAGAAGTATGAGAAGTCCCCTTAGGTCTTGCCGTGCAGCCAGTCAGGTGCATCCTCCTGTTTTTGTGAGCACAGCGTCCTAATGAAAAGAGCTCCTGAGTCTGAGGCTGATACGAAATGAAGGTAGAAGCGTCTTACTTCTCCCTGATAGACACGTTTCCCAACAAGCTCCATCACATTTGGCTTCCGAGCTAGGAAGGTGAGCTCTGGACGTGCAACCAGAGGACTCAACTCTCAGGTCAAAAAGATACCGCATTTACCCAAAGAACCGTATCTGCCTATGTGCTTAGACCAACATGGCTACGACCAACCTCCTTATTGCAAGAGGCAGACAAGGTTCTTTGGGTAAATGTGATATCTTCTACTAGACCAACTATATAGTTGGAAAAATAGTTTTCTGCAAGCTTTCAGGCACAAACGCCCTTCTTCAGGCAGAGGGAGAGGCTGCTGGGGTGGTGTTCTCCATGGTCCAACAGAAGCCCATACAACAATATACCAGTAATCTTGTCTGCCTGGGTCCTTAGACCAGCATGGCTACAACCCGCACTCCTTCGTACAAGGTACTCTTGTTCCAACACAAGGTGCGGGGAAGAGGTCTCTGCTCCGTTCTCCAGTCAAAAGCACACACACCAGGAGGAGCAAATGTGCGAGGATATGTAGGAATAAGATCTTTGCTAATTCAAGCCAATATGCAAAATCATTTACTGTCCTGCAAAATGCAGCCAGTTCTTAATGACAAGTATCAGTGAAAACCAAGCTCGCCATCCTCCTTGTGTAGACAGCTTCCCTTCCAAATTCAAGTTGCCTTGCTCCCACACTGGTCAGCCACGCACAGCTAGACCCTAAAGAAACAAGACAACTTCCCACCAGTTGCCCTCTGTGCTGGGCTGGTCTCGCAGGATGTTTTTCAGGCTGGGAAAGTGGAGTTTTCCGCTTTGCCCTTTTACAGCTAGGCCCAATGACCAAGAGCCACATCATGCGTCTGGAAGGTAACGTGGGGAAGGGCCTTGAAAGGCCTCCGTTTGTCCCAGGGTCAGCACTGGCATTTTTCTCTCCTCTGCATCACTGCAGTTCAAGGGCTTTGCATTCGGTCACCTCGTGGCAAGCAAAAACAAAAGACTCCTTTGAAGTAAAATCCTTCCAGCAAAACATCGCTCCTCCTTTAGGGACCAGGCATGCACACAGCTTGCTGAATTCATAGCATCAGCTCCTCCGCCTCCCCTGCTCAGGCAGCTCTCGCCCTGCGGTCGGTAGGAGCTCGCTCCCCCCCGGACGCACGCCCGCAGGTTTCCCCTCCCAAGCCCATCGTGGAGACGGAGGCAAAGCGCGGTTCTGTGACGACGTGGGGCATTTCTGCCTTATGTTCCCAGCTGCCTGGCCTATGATTTCTGCCAGCCTTGCCGTTGCCAGGATGCTGAGCTGGACCACATCCAGGCGCATTAAAAGGCGGACTAGAATGACATGCTACAAGATGCCGCTCTCAGTAGCAAGCCAGCATCCAGGCACTGACCTCTTCCCTCTCCCCACCGCCAAGTTTGAGTTTCTCCAGGCTGATGAGCACGGAGGCTGGCCGACCCTCACGGGACCGCTACACCTGCAGCGCTCCCCTAACGGAGCAGCCTTTGCGCACCGGCGGAGGCTGCCGGCATCTTGGTCGTGTCTCCTTCCCCCCGTGCGTTTGACCACGGGTGACAGAAGTGGTCAGTGCCACTTTGAAACCCCCGCGGGCTGGAGAAAAACCCTCTGCATAGACGTGGGGTGTTTATGAGGGCAGAGCACAGAGGAGCCGTAGCTGCAGCACATTACAAATGGAGCTGCAGCTCTCCAGCCCGGGGACCAGACCAGGCCTCCGGCACGCATGACTGCAAGAAGCTGGGAGACAACGGCGGCCCTAGCACGCGGCACGGCAGATCTCCCCCCAGCTCCCAGCCCTGCCGCAGGGGAGACGCGAGCAGCCCCTTCGCCCCGCTCCCCGAGCATTCGAAGCCAAGGATGTTTTATTCCTCGATACCTTTGCTCCAAGCGTTAGGGGGCAAGTCACGTGCCGACGCTGGATGCTGCGAGCGGGGAAGGGGCGGCTATAGAAAGAGCGCTCTCCCCACGGCTCAGTGCAGCAGCCTGGGGCAGGGGGTGGGGGCAGACGCTGCGTCCAGGCCCGTGTGTCAGGTTTATGAATGATTTCCTGACAGGTACAAAGGCTGACTCAGCCGGCCTCCTGTTGTGTGCGGTGCAGGGCTGGCTTTTCCGGCTGCCACTCAAGCCCACTGAGCCGAGAGCTAATCTCCCCAGGACACCAGGCTCAGGGGGAAACCGGGGCCTCTTCCAGCTGGGGGCGAGAGCTAACCGTACGGCTCCGGCGGTTTGGGGGCCCCCACGGCTTTCTCAACCCGTTTCCTTCAGAGGCGGCTGCCGCCCTCGCTCGCTCGCCCGCCCGCCTGCCCCCGCCCACTGCGGGGGTTTCACCGCGCCGAGGCGGACGGTTATGCTGCGCTCTCATGGCTGCAAGGGCACGGGGCCCGGGGCTCAGTGCCCCGCTCGACGCCCTCCTGGGGCCGCGGCTGGTGCAGCATCGGTGCCTGCAGCACCTGCCTTCCCCCGAGCCAAGCACCCCAGGCCTCCGAGCCCTTCAGGTCCGGTTCAGGCCAAGGTCACGTGGCTCAGCATCCAGGATCTAGCCTTTCCCAGATACCTAGGGCTGTCCCATGTCCTTTACGGCTGCATTTTCCCCCGCGCCCAGGAAAAAGCAGCAAGAGGCGATGCACAAGCCAAGCAGGTAGAGCCGCCTGCACGGAAGCAAATTGCAGCCGGCGGAGGTGCGTCGACCCCCTGCAGCCAGCTGCCTTTTGGAGAGCTGGGCGCTAGCTGGGTCCTGGGCTCAGACGGATTTAGGATCTGGTTTCTTGTCACCCTGAGCTGCAGGGGGGGGGCTGCACTTCCCCCAGACAGTCTGTCGCTTCAGGTGTTGGCGAGATTCACTCCTTGCCTTTGCAACCTCTAGCAATAGATGGAGCAGGGAGGGTGCAGCTAGCGGGGTCAGTGCCTTGCACACGGGGACCCTCCAGGCAGGGATAAGGGAGCAACTCTGCCCTGCTGGGAGTTTGCCAGGCAGATGCAGGCCCCGCTTCCAGCAGTGCCAGGCAGGAGGGGAAGGAAGCTCTGCCAGGGGTTTGCTGTGCGACCTTGAGCGAGTAGCGTGCGAGGGGACAGTCCAGAGCAGAGCTCCTGGCCAACCTCCCCTCTCCCTGCCCCACTATTGGCACCCAGCTGCTCCCGCGGACAAGGGCCTTTGGGAACCTGGCCCTTAATCCAGGCCTCAGTTTCCTGATCTGTAAAACAGGGTTGATAATAATGACACGGATAATAATGCATCTGTGCCGGCCAAGCCAGGGGCTGCAAAGTGCTCGTGACCCCAGACGAGCTGTACACGGGAAAGGCGTCGTGCATCCTTCCCACCCGATAGCGGGCGAGGCCTGCGCATCCCACGCGAGACTTGAAACAGGGCGTGTGAAACCAGCCTGGCCCGAGGACACGGAGGGGCCGAGCTGGCTCCCCAAGCCTGGGCCAAGCCAGGTGATGAAAGCAAGCCGCCTCCTGTTCTCTGCTCTCCCGTGCGCTCCGTCACCGCCCTCCACACCCCGCTCTGCATCCTCTCCTCCTGCCCGGGGCCCTTGCTGGGCACCATGCCTCCATTCGGTGAAGCCTTCCCACCTCTGTACCCCACAGGCCCTGCGTGCTCGCTCCTGGCGCCCCGGCAGCTGACGCTGCGCGTCTGCTCTGCTTTACATGCTCTTGGACGCGTGGAGCAGAAAAATAGCAGGTCACGCTGCCGCCCGGACGCGGGCAGGGGCTAGGGTTAGGGTTAGGGCTGGAGGGGGCCCGCGGGAAGAGCGCGCTGCACCCGGGGAGCAAATTCCTCCGAAGCGCAGAGGGCGCGCGGCGAGCACGCCAGGCCCCAGCGCTGGATGGGGCGGCAGGAGGCCATCACTGCCTGCCTCGCTAATTGATGCAAACGACATCTGCTGAAGTCTGCTGGCTGGCAGGGACATTAAAAAAAGATGGGGTGGGAATCCACGCAAGGGCTCGGGAGCGCGGGGCTGCTGCTTATCTCGGCGCTTTCCCGAGCCAGGAGAGGAACGGACAGCAGCCGGCCCGCTCCGGGACGGGGAAAGCACCCACCAGAAGGGAGGCCCAGCGCTTTGCACCACACCTCTGCGGTCCGTTAAGCATGGGGATAAAGCAGGCTATCGCCGAGCCCATCTGGAAGGAATGCAGCCATCCCCGACGGGGCCAGCTGATACGCGGCAGATACGCGGCAGCTTGGCCTCGGAGGCTTATCTTCTGTTCCTAATTACACGGGGGTCCCGTGGCCCGGACTGCCGTGAGGAGCCATAACTCAGCCCAGGGTTGCTCGCAAGGCCTGGGGAGGAGGGTTGGAGCCGGCTGGGCCGCCGGGCTCCACTCCGATCCCTGCCGCTGACTTTTTGTGGGACCCTGGGCGACCGCTTCGCTTCCCTCCGGCCCAGGTGCCTTGCCTACGAAGCGGAAGCGATGGCGATGCCCCCTCCCCGCTCAGACGTCCGAGCAACAGTCGCTCTGGACATGCTCAGCCATGTGCCCGTCCCGGGCCAGCCGTCTTTGTCTGCATCCCTCCCCAAATCCCGTTTGGCAAGCAGCCCGCCGTCCCAGCCCCGGGACCACATCCGGCCATGCGTCTCTGCAGCACCCCCGTCCACCAGCACCCGTGCTCCAAAAGTGGCCGGAGAGCTGACCGCAGACTCCCAGCTCTGCGGAGACCGGCGCTTTGGTTTAGCCACGGGGCCGTATTGACCACGGCCAAAGGCAGAAGGGAAACCCTGGAAATCAGAGGGCCCCGGGAGG